GATAAACGGGTATTGACTGAGGGGTTGCTGCTCTGACACCGGGACCATCTTGCTGCTCCTCCCCCCCTCCCGGAGCATCATGGACCCAGCAGCCGCGTCACTCACCTGGTTTTACTGGAGCTCAGTTTGGCGTTGCTGAAGCCCACGAGCCCCGCGGCGTCCCCGGAGCCCTGAGGAGGAGACAACAAAAGGTAAAAACACGCAGGATTTCCACCGGTCGGTTTCCAGCTGCCGAGCAACAAAGGCTGGAGCGGCCGGTCCACCGGAAGCCGCCCCGGTTACCTGTGAGGAGAAGACGCCATGTTCTCTGTAGTTCTCTAAGGCTTCGGACAGGAACTCCGGACGCTGCTCCTTCAGCACCGACACCAAACCCTCGGTGAGTCTCATTGCAGCGGCGCCATGCATCCAAGCCGAGGCAGCCATTTTCCGCCCCCCTCAGCGCCAGTGTGACGTCACTACTCCGCGACCGCGTTCCGCTCCGTCATTTCTTCGCGCCGCCGTAGAGAGGCTGGATTCACTGGTTGTAGAAACTCTGCTGAGTTTCTTTGTCCTTTTTATTTTTTTGTGGCGGATTTAAATCTTCTTCCGGTGGATCTAAATATTTTCCCGCTCTGATGGCGAACGAGCGGCTCCGACTGCTGGAGGAGGTGGAGAAGGAGATCGCGGTGGTGCTGCAGTGCGCTGGTGAGGAAACTGGAGCTAGCAGAGACCCAGCGGGCCGATGCCAGAACCCATTATTCCTCTGATATCAGTCTAACTACGGCGGCCTATTAGGGCCATTCAAAGAATTAAAAAAAGGGATTTAAATTTCTGGATTTAAAGTGGCTTAACTAGAATAAACACGCAAATTTAGAAGGAAAGATTAGAAATAACAATTTCCACTGTAACGGTGATGATATTCAGCTATATCTGAGCATAAATCCAGATGAAAGCTAACCCGGTTAATGAGGCATCCTGAAGCAAACTCACGGAATACTGACACCTGCTGGACGTTTAGAGACACTACAGGCAGCTGATAGGACAGAATAAACTGAATTATATATGTTGGAGCTATTTATTCTTTATTTCTTTAACCAATTGAAATGGAATCATTTATTCTCAAATCAACATTTTGTGTATTATTAACAGTTGATTTGCAACTAACAATTGTTGATTCCATTTATCTCTGTTTGATTTTTTTTTTATTCCATTATAAAAAAAATTGTTTTGCTCT